AGTCCCAAGATCTACAACCAAGAATAATTTATCCAGCAAAGCTATTATTTAGAGTTGAAGGACAGATAGAGTTTTCCAGACGAAAATAAGCTGAAGGAATTTATCACCACCAAACCAGTATTATAGGAAATGTTGGAGGAACTTCTTTAAGAAGAAAAAGCATAATCAAAAACAGGAATAAAGAATGGTAACAGCTACATTCCTATCAATAAGTACCTCAAATGGAAAAGAATTAAGTGCTCCAACTAAAAGAGTTGGATGAATGGAAAGGAAAACAACACCCCTACGTGTTGTCTATAAGAGGCTCACTTCAGATTAAAAGACACAAACTAAAAGGAAGGGGATGGAAAAAGATATTGTTTTGTTGGATCTAGAAGGTATTTAAGTCAGACAGAGAAAGATAAACACTATACGATTTCACTTATATGCGGAATCTAAGGAATAAAAGAACAAACTAATCAAAAACAACTCACAATTATAGTGGACAATTTGGTGCTGGACAGATGGGAGGGGAGTTTGGGGGACTGGGAGAATGGGGTGAAGGGTTAAAGAAGTACAAATTAGTAGCTGATGGATGGACATGGGGATGGGGAGCATGACATAGGGAATGCAATTAGAATGAATACATTAGCTAGGTGGAAGATCAGGGGAGGCAGGGAGCAATTGTGGGGGGACCATTTTACGAACTATATAGATGTTTAACCAATGTACTGTATACTTGAAACTAATTAAAATTTAAAAAAAGTAGAAGGGACATACAGGAACTGAATTGACTAGTGTCATGACTGAAGGGACAGGAGTCATAGCAGCTCTTTCTGGAGACAGAAGTGCTGGCAGACATCATTGCAATAGCTGGTAGGCGCCATATCTGAGATTCCATTAATCTGGCTAACATTATTCACCCCACCCAATTTGGAAGACTAGTCTGAATGTTTCCAGTGGTTCTTTTACACAAGCAGCCTGCCTTGGCTCGTACTGTAGACTTCCCCCAAATCTCTCAAAGCTCCACAAGCCCCAAACAAGCAGTGGCTTGCCTCACAATGCCCTGCACCTCTTGCTAAGTGGCCCCAAGCCTGGCATAAACTGAAGCCAGTGTTGGCTTAGAATAGCTTCAACTAAGTGTCCACAAGTGGCACCTGGTTTTGGTTCACAGCATAACCTCCCCCATGTGCCTCCAAGCCGGGCATAAATGGTGGCTGACCTTGGCCTGCACTGAAGCCCCTCCTAAGAGGCTCCATAACCAACATACCTGGTTGCCAGCTTCAGACCATGCCAGAGCACCACCTTGTCAGCTCCACAAATGACATACCGAAGAATGGACTTGTCTGACACCAGAGGCCTGCTAAAGCGACTCTTATTCCGTGTGGTCAGCCCCATCATAACAGCTTATCTGCTGTAGTCACACACAGCCAATCAGCCTGAGGATCAGTCCTCCTCACTGAATATGCCAACAGCAATCAAGGCTTAACTACAACAGGAAGGTACATACAGCTCTTACAAGGGACACCCCTGGAGCATCCGGCACAGATGAACAGGGAGACTGGGCCCCACAAGACACCTGCTACATAAGGCGACTCTGCCAAGACTGGGAGACATAGCAGTTCTACCTAATACATAGAAACAAATACAGGGAGGCAGCCAAAATGAGAAAAATGTGCCTCGGATGAACAGGACAAAACTCCAGAAAAAGAACTAAACAGAATGGAGATAAGCAATCCCAGATATAGAGTTCAAAATGCTGGTTTTAAGGATGCTCAATGAACTTAGGGGAACAGATGAACTCAGAACTTCAACAAGGAGATAGAAACCATAAAAAAAGAACTAGTTAGAAATGTAGAATGTAACTGAAATGAATACATTGAGGGAATCAATATCAGATTAGATGAAGCAGAGGACTGAATCAACAATCTGAAAGACAAGGTCACGGAAAACTCTCAATTGGAACAGCAAAAAGAAAAAAAATGAGGATAGTTTAAGGGACCTCTGAGACAACATCAAGTGTAACAGTATTTGCATCATGGGTA